TGTCAAGAGCTTTGTAATGTTTTGAACAACCAATTAAAAAAAAAAAAAGAAGTTCATGATACCAAAGGAGGAGGAGTAAGAATGTCAGGAAGGAATGACATTCCTTTTTCTTTCATATTTTCTTGTTTCAGGAAAGGAAATATTATCAAGAGAAAATGAAAGTTGACTTAAGTAGAAATGGGAGAGATTGAGAAAGTAGTGTTTTTATACAAAAAAACCTTCTCTGTTTGACACCCATAAGTAGAGAACAATGAATGGGATGATAACCTAACTCCTGGCTGTGAATTTCTTAGTGTTTTTTTTTTTTTTCCCTTCCCCCAAGGTTCACTGATATGATAGAGGTTGGGCCAAAAGTAGGCCTTTTCTTCATGAGAACACCACCATTTTCTAGTTTAAGACGCTAATTCAAGGAAACTATGTTCCCTTCCCACCTTGCTTATGGAAAACTGCCTATTCACAGAGCCAAAGTAATGTGGTGATTAAAAAGGCTTAACTAAAAAGAGAAATGGGTCAGTCCTTCCCTGTGATTTTCCTATCTCAGCACTTGCTGGTAGGGAGCAAACATCTTTGCTCAATCAGCACAACATGACTGTTACTGGAGGAGCAGACTGGAAAGAAGTGGGACTCACCAGTGATCATGCCCTGGTTCCAGAGGAGATGCTAATCATTTCATGAGTAATCCTCATCAATACACCAGGTCTGGAAGAATCTATTTTCCTGAAACTTCGAAGTATGTGTGTAATAGACTAAGAAGAATAAATCACAAAAGAAATAATATGCCAAACAAAAAGAATGCCTCTTTATAAACTTTGTATAAGGTCTAAATTATCTCTTACAACATGTATGCACGTGTTCACGCTATAGAGACGGAGGGGAATTCACTTCCAAGTAACCTGTTGAAATGATCTCCACAGCTTCGGGTTCCCCTGAATGGCTTCCAGGTTGTTGTGTTTAGAGTCTCCAGCACTATGAAGATGGCAGCTCTCTTAGATTCTCCAAACATCCATGACTTACATCATGTCCAGCTGTAAACAAAAATGACATATTAAGAAGGGAACCAGGCTGGACGTGTGCTGCATGCCGGTCTGCCTGTCATCCCAGTGGCTTGGAAGACTAAGGCAGGAGTATCACCAAGTTCAGAGCCAGCCTCAGCAACTTATTGAGGCCCTAAGAAACTCAGTGAAACCCTGTCTCAAAATAAGAAATAAAAATGGGCTGGGGATGTGGCTCAGTGATTAAGCACCCCTGGATTCAATCCTTGCCCTCACCTCCATCCCCAAAGACCTGTCACTGATGCTCTGGCAAAACAGAGTTTAATGAAAACTATGTGATTCTGCAATCTGTATGCAGGGTAAAAATGGGAGTTCATAACCCACTTGAATCAAATGTATGAAATATGATATGTCAAGAGCTATGTAATGTTTTGAACAACTAATAATAAAAATTTAAAAAAAAGAAAACTACATTGGTTAGACACGCATGGACTTGCACACTTATTCACTACCAACTACTTTAGGAGTTAAATACCAAATCATTCCTCATTTCAGTATTAAGAACTTCTCACAAAAAGGATGAAAGCAAAGTGTGCAGCTTTTGCTGGACAGTTATTGTGTGAGGTTTAAAGAGAAGAAGTTTCTAAACCTGAAAGATGGATGTAAATTCCAATATTTATACAGTTTTCCAGGTATCCACAGCATGGTGTAATGAGGTGCAGTAATCCTCAAATGCCTATTAGTCTATTTTGTTTATGTTAAGTTAATTGAGAACATTTAAAAAGTAGGTTTCTTAAGGGCTGTTCTTATTTGTCAACCCACACAAATTGCATGTTGTATTACTTATTTTTGGTTAAGAGCAATTTCAGTAAATTATAACATTTTGCTACTAAGAAAATAGCCTCCCCAGCTCGTTCTAGCCCTTCAGAGAATTAATTTGAATGAACAATGTAGTTGAAATCACAGAACATAGGAATTTCCATTATGAAATCACCTGATTAAATTTATAATGGCAATAAATAACAGTGTAGAGAACTTCTGATATATTAGAAATTAAAACACAAATAAGAAACAAGTCTATGATAAGCAGCTTTTGTGGCTGAATTTACAGCTCAATTTCATTCTTTAGAACACCTGGTATATATTGAAAGCGCTTACCAAATCATCTACATCACCACCTTCTTCAAACATGGCTGCTTTGTCTTCATGTGGTTTTTCTTTGGGGGCCAGAAACTGTGAATAGAAAATCAGTCATGTTATTACAGTGACATTTTTCCCTCTTTTGATGAAGCAAACAGTTTGCTAACATTCCACAGGCAAACCTAAGGAAGGCTTGCTTAGTAAAGTCCCATTGCAAATGATCTTTAAAAATCAAACAAACAACAACAACAACCAAAAAAAAAAAAAAAAACAAAAAAAAAAAACCACACACACACACCTTGGCATATTCTTCCTTTGGCTCTGGACAAGAGCACCAATTTTGAGGTTTAATAGTCTATACTAACTAGTTAGTAGAGAAAGGTCTAATGAAGAGGGAGGATTTGTCAGGGCTTATCAGGATGGTGAATCTGGGGAGGGTCCCATATCAGCATGATGGACATGAATACCTCACTTGATATTTCACATCTGTTTCCACAAGTAAGCTGACAAGATTAAGAAAATAAGCACCCCCAAATTAAAAATAAGCACCCCCAAATTAAAAAATGAGTGAACTTGAGAGGCTGCTTAATCCCTTTTATGGAAGTCCTTCCATTTGCAAGACACTGTCAGAAAACAGGCAGATAAAAAATGGATGAGAAAACTTCTGTTTGGCATCAGTGTTTTAGACCTGGAACTTCTCAAAGGCAGACACAGAAAAGCAAAGGCCCTAAAGCCAGGTCTGTAAGGATCAAAGGATGATACTGAGAATTTTAAAAAGTTGTGAATGCCCTAAAGAATCATTTGAATATCTTTTTTCTATCCTGTCCCTCCAAGACATAATGGTAGGGTGTCTTTTCAAACTTCATACATGTGGCAACTGCCTCCAAGAGCCAAGTTCTACCAATGCCTATCTATCCTGAGAATGTGACCTTTACCTGGGAGCACAAACCAGCCTAAAGGAATGAGCATTTTAAAGGGGGTAATGAAAGGTAGACTATGTCTCTCTGTCAGCATTCCCCAAGTCAGCCAGAGTGCAGTGGAGCACACTTGTGTTGGAGCCTTTTGGCTTAATGCTGCTTTCCTGCAGCTGCCTCCACTCAGGCAAATGTTGTTATACATGTTATCAACATGAAAAAATGGTAAGAACTGCTTTTCCTATACATTCCTATTATTGTTATGGTACACTGGACATGATAAAGGTCTCTGAAACCTAAGACCTATAAATAAACTATATGTCTTTTAACAAATTATCAATCAAAGTCATTCACTAATTAGGTTGCATGCAGCAAATCTCAGGAAGCAAGCTCTGCCCATCTTTCCATTTCTGAAGCATAGAAACTCACACATAATTAACATAATGGTAACAGCAAAGGCTGTTTCTACATAGCTGGGCATTGCCTTGACACAGATGTGGCCAGGTTGACTTGACCTCTCCCCTGGACTTTTTTGCTTCACTATTCATGAACCTTCATTTTGACTGAGAGATTAATTCTTTTAAGAATACATATGGATTTTTTTCCATAGTCTTTTGTTGACCCTAAACTGAACTATGTGCAGGGCTGGGGCTCAATGCTATGACACACAGAAAATCCTTGCAATGGGGGCAGACAGTCTGGAAGAGAAATGTAATGCAGCTGCTGTATCATTAATTCAATTTATTGAGGGTGATTATTAATAGAGATATCTGAGAACCAAGTATAGATCAATAAGAAATTCATGCATTTATTGCACATGGTTTCCAAATTAATCTTTATAGTTCTCCTGATTATTGTCACTATTAAAAATGGTATCTTGCTTTCCCTACTCATTGTAATCAACCACTGCATGGTTTTCCCTATATTAGAAATATATGGCTAATGAATAAGTCTCATCCAGTTAGGGTGAGGGCTGGGGATGTGTAGCTCAATGGTAGAGCAGATGTCTAGCATGAATGAGGACCTGGGCTCAATACTCAGTACAAAAAAAAAAAAACAAACGAAAAAACACGTTGAACACATAGGGTGAACAGAGTAAAAGGCAGAGCTGTGTCCTGTCATAGCCTTCTGTGGGATCAAAGAACTAGCATATCCAAAACAAATGACAAACTCCATGCACTCAGTTGCACAACAGTACACTACATCTTTTACATTAGTAAACTGAAACATTATAGGTACTTACAGATGAATATAGAAAATTCTTGATGTTTTTTGGCATTCAGCCTCTAAAAGTTGCAATTCCCATTCCTTCCTCACCTGAAAACCCTCTTTTAGAGTGAAATGAAAGGATAAATTAAGATAGGCCTGTCCGCACAGTGTGACCATGGTATATATAATCAAACACAATGGCACATGTCTGAGGATAGGCCAACTTCCTAGGAAGAGAGGAGCAGCAGCATAAAAACCCTTTCATTTCCATCAAGTGATAAACATCTGCAGCTGATTTCCCTGACAGATCTGCCTCACATTTCTGCATAGCAAATTATGGCTAAAAGCTGAGCTGCCATCCATTATGTTCCCAAGGCCCTGGGCAAGGCTGATCTCTTATACACAGCGCTCTTCCTCATCAGAGTTTTTAATGGCAAGTAATTTCCAGGCTAAGCAGTGACAGGGAAGCTAGAGGAAGCTATGGACAGAGCAGAGAATTCAAGGACTGGTTTGCTTTCTCAATAAGGAACCATTCTCTGAATGCAGCAGAAAAGGGTAGGAGTCAAGTTTCTTCTTTTCTCCTGTCCTTTTCCTCTGCAGAATGCTGAGAAAGGAGAGAATAAATAGAAAGGACACTTGTGTGACACATTCCCCATTCCTCAGCCATCATCTACGTGGTGTTGCCACAAAGAGCCTCTTACCTAGAGATCTTTATGAGATGAATAAACTACTACTTTTATTCATTGTATATTGAAAATGTAATCCTGGCTACAAGCAGAGAAATGAATCAATAACCTCTAACAATCAGCTTGTGCTCAGACCCCTACCAACGTCCAAATTAAAAACACCTGGCTTCCATCAGGCTGATTCCAACACTATCAGGTGACCCCAGACGTATAAAAAAGCATCAAAATGAACAAGTTTGCCTAAAATGCCATAAATTTAGGTTTCATTAATGTCATATGTAGCTTATTTTATGCAATAATGACAATAGACTGCATCAGAAAAATCCTCCACCCTGGTATGTAGAACACAACCATAATCTCGGCCCTTCAGGAGCACTTGAAAACTTTGGGACCACTTCATAACTAATTTTCTTCAAAAATAAAAAGGAAATACTACTGTTCACCCTATTTATCTTATGGTGTTGTGGTGAACCTAAGAAATAAAGAGCAAAAATTCTTTGTGGCAGTTTAAGTTTTATGTTCTAATTATTTGGAATATACCTAATATACAACCATCAAGCAATATATAAGAATATCTAGCATATCTTTATTCATGATTTCTAAAGTTTGGAAATAATCATATGCCCATCATCAAGGCAATCAATGAATAAATTACAGTATAATCGTTAAAAGGGATACTACATAGTTATAATACAGAATGAGTAATTACAACATCAGTGAACCATTAGGCATGATTCTAATGATACGAAAGTCAAGAACAGGCAAAACTCTTCTCAAGTGACAGAAGTGAGTACTGGTTACTTGGGGGATAGAAGGGGTCTGACTGAGGAAGCCCTGGGGAGCCTTTTGGATGGTGGGCACACAGGTATATGAATGCGTAAGAGTTCATCAACTTGTATACCATATGATGTGTTCAAGTACTATACATGTTTCATCTTCATAAAAAAAATTTAAAATGTTATCTTAAAAGTCTCAAGCTTTAAACAAATATTAGGTAACACTCTGATATGCATTGCTGCTTTTCTTATACTAGCATACTGAAAAACCACACCAGAGATTTAGGAAATCAGAAAAGAGCAAAGGTAAATGTCACAGGGTCCAACAGGGGCCAGTAGTTAGAGATTCTTAAACCATCTTAGAATCCTTTGCAAGGCTTTGGTGATCTCTTATACATTCATCTGCACGAAACTGGGTGTACTCTTGAAAGAGGGAGCACTGAGTATCTCTTCTCTAAACAGATGTGACTGGTGGAGGCATGGAGAGGTGAAGCCATGGTGTGGAGGGAGGGTGGCTAGAGTAGGAGTCCAGGGGGACTTGGTTCTGGTCAGTTCTGCTAGTCATTAGCTTGCTGTGAGATACTGAGTTATTCAACTTCACCTTTCTGGATGGTATTAGAGAAAAAACCAGATCACTAAACTAAGTATCTATGATATTAAGATAGAAAACTGATCAAATAAAGGATAGATGAGGCTGTTAAAAGGAAAACAAGTGCTAAAAATGTCCCCCACCCCCAAAAGCTTGAATCTAATGAATATTTAGATACAGCTCAGCCTCTTGGATTCCTCAAGGCTGTGGGGATAAATCCTCTTTCTCCTGTTCTTAACATGGAATAAGATGACAGGAGACCAGGGGTCAGTCCTAGAAAGAGATTCCCAGTCAGTCACTTACTTTGAGATCTTGGAAACCCTGCTTTACCTCTCTTGCCTATGATAGCGCCAGGAAGTGAGACCAACATGATGGATAAAGGCACTCAGGACTACACAAAGACTTTACCCAACATCAAATGCTAAGGGAATGTCTAACACTACCATCTAGAAACAGAAAAGGTTAAATGAAAGAACTGACAGGTTATAATGACAATAAAAATGGGCTCCAGAGATGGGTAATATGTAGGTTTCAAAGTGAAATGAAAGCTACTGAGAACTTTTGACTACCTAAATTTATGAAAGAATATTCTATGTCTGCAGTAGGGCTAACTTACCTGTTTCTCAAAAGAATCACAAAATTCACATATTTTAAAAATACACTAGAAGAAAATGGCTCTCTTTAGGGTGTTGTACAAGTGCAAAGTTATAATTTAATTTCCACCTAAAAAGGACAACCCTAGATAATTATTTCCTTTCAAATAACACTTAATAGTAAGAATATAACAGCTTGCTAACTTTTAATAACTTATAGTAACTATATTAAAAGAATAAGGAAAATAGGGGCTACTGCATTTTATAGATTATTTGTAAGACTTAAATCTATCTAGGAATGAAGGTCCAGTATAGTGCACAGGGACCAGAATTTTAATCTTCTTGCTGCCTCTGAGTGCTCATAGTGTAACCCCATTTAAACTTTGTAGAATCTGGTTTCCCAGTGATAACAGGACAGTATTCTGCTCCTGCCAATTCGTAGCAGATCAATATATGAGGATCATAGAGACTGTACTGGACACTTGGTTCTGAAGATACATACAAAAAAAAATTTCTTCCCCCCAGTGCTAGGGATTAAACCCAGGGCTTTGCGCACACTAGGCAAGCACACTACCTCTGAGCCACATCCTAGACCTACGCAAAATTTTATTACCATCTCTTTCTATCATTATCTAGATACAATGTGAATATGTTTTAAGTAAACATCACATAATGTGAATGCTTTTTTTTAGAAGTCAAATGTCATATAAACATTTGGTATAAATATTTAATTGACTGAAGCATTGGTAAGTGTGAAAAAAAGAAAATGGCATTTTCTAGATGTGCGTCTGTAAGGTTAACGTGCAAATTTAATTTCAGATGCTACAAAACAACGTACATCAAAGTGCCTAGCACAGAGCTGGTGCTCAATACATTTCAGTTGAATTTCCTACTTTCTTATCTGCCAAAACTGTGAAGTTTTGCTGGCAATAACAAAAGTGTACTTAGTGTGCCCTGACTGGAAATTGCTCCAAAAGGAAGAAGATGCAAGACAAAGCCAGGTATCCCATGCTGGGAGAAGAGATTCTCTTCACGTTTTTTATTGTTTTCTCTATTCAAAGATAGTGACATTACCAGAGTTGTCTTAAACTGCAACTGAAGTCAGTTCTGGTGATATTAGAATCAACTAAGGATACCACCTTATACCTAGCAATTAACTGAAATTTTTCTCTATAGCTCAATTATCAGACTCTGTGTCCTTAAATTCCAAAGAAGATATCACATTTGCAATATGGAACAAGCCTCACACAATTTAAAAATGCATTATCCCTTTCTAGATTTCTTTCCTCTCTAATATTCAGGATTCAATGAGCTGTGACACTTGGTTAAGATGCACGGCTAGGAGGGAGCATTAACTTTTCTAGATCAGTGCTCCCCACTTCCTCTAAAGATTGTAATGTGTTCAATTCTCACTTGGATGACAGATTTTTGTAAAGCAATAATGACTAAAATTAAATTGTATGTCTTGACGTATTTTACTTGTTTAGCAAAAACCTTTACCATACGTAAGGACTAACATTATGTGTCAACTTGGCTAAGTTATAGTGCCCTGCTGTTCCATGAAACACTACTAACTCTAGATATTTCTGTGAAGGTATTTTGTAAATGAGTTTACCACTTATAATCAGCTAACAACATTTTCAATACATTCAATAACTGACGGGTCTCATCCTGTGAATTGAAGGCTTTAAGAGAAAAAAAAACAGGTTTCCCAAAAAAGAATTCTGTTAAGACTAACAAAGAAGCCTTGTCTGAGTTTCAAGCCTGTCAGCTTATCTTATACATTTTGGACTTGCTAGCCCCCACAATCACATGAGCCAATTCCTTAAAGTCAATCAATCAATCAAGTGAGGGAGGTGTGTGTGTATGTGTGTGTGTTTTCTTTGGTTCTATTTCTCTGGAAAATTCTGACTCACAAATTCTACTACAGTCCAAGGGGAAAATAAAAGCGTAATATTGTATAAACTGACAAATAAAAATAAAGCCAAACTGTTACCTGACATACCCAAACTCTTGGTACTTACTACTGACTGTGGAAGAGGGTATAGACACTGCAAACCCCTCTGAGACAACAGTCAGCTCCTAAGAGTATGTGTCTAAAATTCTAGAAATATACTCCTTGAAAGCAGAGACCATGTCTGTTCTTTAAGAAAAACTTTTGCCAGGCTCAGTACTGATTAAAAACTCTTATATATGCTGATTAACTTGTCTCCCAGACAATATGTTTTCTTTCAGATGCCTTTATATAGTTGAAAGTTGGAGGCATTTTCCATTTAGCCTGAATTGAGACCTATGGTGAACTTGCTCCTGCCATTCCCTTGATACATTCCTATCTGCTGGCCCCAGGTCAAACTCTCTCTCAGAATATACAATTATTTTTTTGAGTCTCCACTGCCACCCTATGCTCCCTTGTACCCAATGTTTGAGCTTCTACAGAGGGCAGAGGGCTGTCAGCATGCAGCACAGGGCCTAGCGCATAGCAGAAGGTTTGTCAGGGCGGTTGCCAGGCACTGTGCTAGCAGGACTGGATCCATTAGTGACGGTAACTAAAACTAAATGCTATAAACTATGTTTTTGAGCTATTGAATCTAATTCCATTAAAATTTCATCACAACCTTGAGGTATAATGAAGGATCAGTGAACTAAATAGCCATGTGTATTGTGACTCATAGCTGACTCTTGACTCAAAGCTCATACATCAGACAGGGAGGCCTTGTCCTAACAATTGTGTTAATCTTCTACTGAAAGAGACCTTTACTGAAAATAGCTGGATGTCCCTTATGCTAGAATAGAGTTTTTTTCTACCCACTGCACATTCATCTGAGAGACTTTAAAAATTCAAACAAACCATGCCCAGCACCCATATCAAATAAATAGAATAGAATCTCTGGGGTGATTCTGATTTTTAATCAGCATTTAAAAAAAAAGTTCCCCAGGTGACTAAATGTGTGGCCAGCGTGGGAAATCACTGGGCTAGTGGACTTTATAGCCTTTTGCCAGGGTCTATGGTAAACCTGGCATGTACTAGGGAGGTCAGAAGCTCTAGGACTACTTAAGCTGGGATTACAGGTGAGTTCCAGAAATACAACCGAGGTCTGTGGAAAACTGAGTGGATTATGTTTCCCACAAGTATGCTGCAGTTGAAGCAATTTGCTTGTTGGCTGAATAAAGAATGAGTGCCCTACTTCAGGCACCTTAAAATTTAACTTCTTAAGGACATCTAGGAAAATAATGTCCATCACAATGATTCATCTAATACAGGGAATTCTTTCTTAATACCTTTTTGGCTTCCTCAGCTGTGACAGAACTTCCAGAGGCTTCATCTTTGGTGATGAGAGTGATTCCATCTAAAAAGTAATTCACAGAGTAAACTTCAAATACAAATAGTTAATCCTAATCTCACTTTCCTTTCCATCACCTTTGCTCTGGAGACTTAAAAATATAAAGATGCTCTGTCCTAAGAAAAAAACCCATAAAACTAAAATGGCAATGAATAAACATCTTTCATTTCATCTCACACTATCCTTTCTCTTATTTTTGCTAGTATAGTAAGAAACAAAGGCCACTTGTGCAGTTCTACCCACTCTATGAAGGCTTTCTTAGTCAACTTCAGAAAGACACGGCACTCCCTTTTAGAATTCTTAGATCACTTTTTAACCCTTGGAAATCACTCTTCATATTTTGTGTAACTATTTGCATGTTTATCTGTCCTTCCTCAAGGGCAGGGAATAGGTACTATTCATCTTTCTATTCCCCTCCACATAGTACATACAAAAAGCTCAATAAATAAATGTTTGAATGAGTGTATTCTTTTGTCCAAATACATCAGTACTCAATGGTGGAGTGTGTAAATATTTTGAACTAAGCAGTGTGACTGGCTACTGATGAAAAGACCAGAGCACTAGTCAGGAGGTAACACACTGTTACAACTGGTGTCTTTGTCATTTAACATAGCGTAGTGCATCAATTTTAGCTCAGTGAAGGCAAACGACAGAAAATCTACCCTTTAATGTTCTCTTCTTCCTAAGATTCTTTCCTATCTCAAGTAGCTGATGCATGATACTCATAGAAAAACACATGCATTTTTAACATTCATTTGTACCTAGAAAAGGCATAGGTTGTATGTATTCTCTAAGCAGCATATAAGCTCCCAGAAAATAAGGATCTTTATTTGCTTTCAGCAAATAGTATGTTTTAGGCATTCATAAATACCCATACCAACTTCCTCTTTCATCTACTGGGATAGCCATGGTGGCAAAAAAAGTGATTTGAGTAAGTCCCATTCACCATGCATCCTAATTGCTTTTGCTCACCAGTGTAAAGGTTAAAGGGTTGAAAAATTAACTGTCAAGTAACACTGCCTAGGATGAAATGCTGCCTGTTACAAGGTGGAGACATAGGTGTGTAACCATCCAGAATTTACACCAAAAAACAGGTGGAGACTAATTTTTGCCTCTTGATTTATAAGTTTCATATCATCTCTTAAATTTATTTTCATATGTATTTTTAATAAATAATATACTTGAGTTCTGAAAGAAAACTGGGTCATGTTTTCAAAAACAGGAAAAAGGCATGAAGAAAATATCAAGTGTAACATTGGAAGAACATGTGTTCATTTCTCTCTGGGTTTAGTTTGTAGTGCTTGCTATGAATAAGTGAGGAAATGAGTGGCTTTAGTTCCTGAAGATGTGGGGCTGCTGACTTGGGAAGCCCAAGAATGTGGTAATGAAAGGTAGCAGGGAGGCAAAATGTGGGTAAGTCAGTCCAAGTGCAGTGGACCAAAGAGAATGGAAATATCCTAAGAATATGAGAATGGGGCAATGTTTGTCCGCACAGTGGCTTCAGTGAACAAACAGAAAGGCACAATCTTAGAAATGGGTCATGCTGCACAGAGTGTAACATCCACTTGGTATTTATCAACTCTGTATTGATGCTTATTAAAGGGGACTTTGAGTTCAATGAATCCTGGGCATTTCTCAAAGCCAAATGGGAAGTCTATCAGGTCCCACTGGGCATGAAGACACATATCTGTAAGCCCAGCAACTCTGGAGGCTGAGGCAGGAGGAGGCTCTCAAGTTTGAGACAGTCTGGGCAATTTTTCTAGACCCCATCTTGAACTAAAATGAAAGGCTGGGGATGTAGCTCACTGGGAGGGAGAGTTTCCCTAGCATGTTTGAGGCTCTGGGCTTGATCCCCAGTACCACAAAAGAAGGAGGAAGAGAGAGAGCGGGAGGCGGGGGGCGGGCAGGCATTTTACTAGTTAAAAATGTGGGTGAGCACATTGCTAAAGAAAACTACTTTCAAGATTCACTGGGGGGGGAGGGGGAGAGGGAGAGAGAGAGAGAGAGAGAGAGAGAGAGAGAGAGAGTGTGTGTGTGTGTGTGTGTGAGAGAGTCACCAGGTTTCCCCACCTAGGAGATCATGCAATATAATTTATGTTTAGAAGTTGTATGGATATGCAGCAGCATCAATATCTAGAGGGGAAAATAACCCAAAAAACAAAGAACTCCTTACCCTGAACAACAATGTCCCAGAAATGATTTAACTGTTTAACTTCCACTTTCTCTCGAAGGGATTTCATGAAACTGTTGAAGTGCTGTTCTTCTGAAAACTGTGGGGGCAAAATCCATCATCTTCAGACCAAGGTACAACAGATTTTGAATCCACCATATTTATTTATTTATTTTAAAAGTTCTTGTAAGGTAGATGGAAGCTGGCAATTCAAGTTGAGCTTTATTTGTTGAAAACCAGAAATCCTTCCATCTACGCAAGGAACCAATCTTCCCAGAGCCACATAGCTTTTTTGGTACCTAAAACTTTGTTTTAAACTAAATACAAACAATATCAAACAAAAGAGAATAATTCATTATTCAATGGATGCTCATGTACTGATCACTCAGCTTCAGTAATTATTACTTAACCATCTGCTTCATCTAGACCCTACCTTCATCTCCCATAACACTTGGATTGTTTTGAAGCACATTTCAGTTTTATTACTTAATTTATACATATTTCAGCATGCAATATCAAAAATTATTTATTTTTTCTAATAAAACATATTCATTTGCTACTCTGCATCTCATAACAATTATTAATTCCTTAAGAGAAGCAAAATTTAAAATATATTTTCTTAATTATTTCTTTTTAAAAAATAATTTTACAGTTAAATATAGGTCTTCATTAATACTGACTGACCAGTCTTTTATTTTGCTCATTTTCCATCTTTTTAAAATTAATTAATTAATTTTTTTTTTTTTTTTTTTGTGGTGCCAAGGACCAAGCCCAGGGACTTACTCATGCTAGGCAAATGCTCAACCACTGACCTACTCCCAATCTTCTTTTTCCTGTTTTGAGAAACCCAGTGACCCAGTGAATGTGGTGACAACAGCATGCAGAAGTGCTATTAGAAGCTCCCTTTACCTGGGGTAATACTTATTTTAAAACAACACATTTTACTCTCTTTTCATCTAATGAAATCTTTCTCTACCCAAGTAAATTATCTTTATTTGGTCTTGTCTTGACTCTACTTCCCCAAATTTTGTCTTCTGTAGGGTATTCGGGTCATTTGCTTCTGAATCTTTTACTTTAATCCAGTTTTAAGGATTTTCTTGCCATTTTTTTTTTGTAAACACCTAAAATAATTCCAGTGCTAATTTTTTCATTCATTCAGCAAATATTTAATAAGCACTCACACAAGAACATATATTACATCTGTACCTTCTCTAAAAACATACTTTCTAATTTAAACTTGCTCACCTCTTGCCTAGAAGTATAGAGGCCCATAAATAATTTGGAAGATTTTTAGAAGTGTTTTCTAAAAATTTCTAATAAAACAAACAAAAAACCTACACAAAGGTGGGTGTGTTGAATTTATTATTATTATTATTATTATTTGGTGTTCTTTTTTCCCCTGGCATTTAGATTCCTACTTCTGTCTTTGTAAAATATTCTTCAATAATCACACCAATACATGTTTTTCATCAATTTTCCTAAAGTAATTAGCCCATCCTTCACAATAATGACAGGACCATCAGATATTACAATGTAAATTTCCTGGTGCCCCTGAGCAGAACACAAAGCTAGAGCTTTAGTAGCATGAAAAGCTCACTTCAAGGGATAAGCATCCACCCATCTACATTAATTCCTCCTCAGAAATGACACTCCCACTTCTCTTGGCACACAACTGCTCTTCGTAGTGAGAATGATTATTTCCAAAGGCCAGGCTTATTGATGAGATGCTGGTTTTCTCTTCCCCGTGATGGCTGCCAATAGCTTGGGCAGAGAAGATAGGTGAGAAGAAAGGTACCTGAATGGCTTCTTCCCGGAAGGCTTTGATGCAGTCCATGCTCTTCATAAAATATGGTGTTTCGTTAGTATCCAAAAACTGTTCAATGTGACTTATTAGCTGATGACATGCTAGAACATAAGAAAATAAATTTATTTTCATAGATGTGAGTGATGCTTGTTAGATTAAGCACCTTTGGATGTGCCAAGAAGGATGAGGTTCACAGAGCTCCTGATCAGTATACACAACAGCCAGATTTCTTTTGGGGAGACATGAGATGCAAAATTCTCATTTCAAAAATCTACATATGAGAAATGTGGTTTTGTCAAAAATAAACTAATTTCTATTCCTTTTGAAATGTCAAACATTAGGTTGGGGTAGTTATTTTAATCATACTGTTGCTGCTTTTTATCTTCCCCCCAAAATTTAGGGGCCATTTGGACAATTCAAAACTACCTTTCCTAAATATTCATAGAAAACAGGTTGTCAAGTTCCTCCCCTAATGCCACTCAGGATAACTATCAAGCAGTGCCAGGCAGTGAAAAGTCATAAGACAGAAACACCCATCTTTTGTCAATCTCAGATTATATTACAAAGAACAGTCCCAGTGTCATCGTAACATCCTGTTAGAATGAGAACCTATTACTATTATCTTATGCCTTAGCTGGGCCTGAATATCCTCCCTGTTGCTCAGCACTCCACAAGCTATGAATACTTAATAAACAATATCTATCAGTAAGCAATGTCATAAATGCTACAGAAAGAAGAAATACATCAATGTCATCATTTCTAAGGTGGATTGCAACTTGAGCCTGCCTCACAAAGAAACAAAAATTGTTAAGTTTTTGGGGGAAAAAAAGCAGTGGAAAATAGAAATGTGGAGGTCATCTCAGGGAACTAAATTTGCTAGTACATCAAAATTGGCCCTTAATATTTATGTTGAATACCAAACCAAGGAGATAACAAACACTCATGGCCTAAAGGCTCACTCTCCCTTGTCTCCTGAAACCATTTACTTGCCAGCTACTTCACAATTTATGCTGAATGGTCAAGATATTCTAATACTGTCATATCTTTTTCAAATCACAGTCTCATTTGAGCATTTTAGTAGTTAAAAATGTGGGTGAGCACATTACTAAAGCAAGATTCACCTGAAAAGGCGCAAGGCCTCTAACTCTGAATCAGTGACCTGAACACTGTTCAATGCCTTGTGACAGACAGGAAATCGGTGCCATCTACTTATTTCCTGAGGACCTTTTAACATTTGGAGAGGATTAAGAAACTGGACGAAACATTTTCGAATATAGCAATTTTGCTGCAAGGGAAAAATATCCCCAATAACCACTTCATCTCTTCTACCAACTAGGAGATTATGATCTCCATTATAATAAAGCCTCTAACAAATTTGAGAGATTAAAGAAACAGTGTACTGCAATTTCAGAAATCTTTACCAATGTCTCCTCCAGCAGTGAATTAATATCCAACTACAATTCAAAGGAGAGAAAAAAATGTTCAAATAGTGTTTTTAAATAAGGTAAATAATACAACTTTGATTAGTCAGCAGAGCAGAATACCATCAATAAGGAGCTCAAAGCAAATAGAAGCTATTTACCCTTTTCCAGCTTAGAAAGTCAAAATACAGAAATGTTCAAGATTCTTACTTACCTTCTCAGATAGATTAATATAAAGTTAACTTCAAGTTATATCTAGGTACAAATAGGCACCTTTGTGGGCCAAGAGACTCCAAGTCTCCCATTTCTTTTTAAATGAGAATGAAGAATTTTAGGAAGATTTAATGAAAATATTTCCCTTTATAGGCTGAGCACAGTGGTGTACATCTATAATCCCAGCAGTGTGAGAGGCTGAGGCAGGAGGGTCTCAAGTTCAAGGCCAGCCTGGGCAACTCAATGAGAACCTATCTCAAAATTTAAAAAATTAAAAGGGCTAGGGATGTAATTTGGTGATAAGAGTATCCCTGGGTTCAAACCTCAGTACTAAAAAACAAAACAAAAACCAAACAACAAAACATTTGCTTGACTTAGTGATCGTTTTCATTAGCTTATCCTAGTAAATATTTATTGTGTAACTGCTGGGTTGCTCGCAACTAAAACACTCAGGGGTCACTCCAGAGGAACTGGGCTAACTGGGCCACATGAAATAACCACACAAGAGACACAAATACCTTTTTCTTTGGAGGTGCTGTGACGGCTCCTCTGACCTTAAGGGTCTGGGGAGAGAGAGAGTGTGTGAGAATGAGTGTGTACCTGCTAACCCCTTTTATTGAGGAGAAGCTATTCAAATGAGGTAAGGGGTCAGGTTTCAGGGGGCTGAATCTAGCTTCATGATGTCTGCTGTCAGCAGGTTGACTGACATCTAGGTAGGCCACACTCAAGGGAAGAGTAAGAGAAGGGGACACACAAAGGGCACTTCCATGGAACATTCTATCCCACACAGGGCAAGGGGTAGTATTATAAAGAAACAGGTAAGCATAGCTCCACCCATGGGGATGTAGGAAGGCAGGCCCATGCCTATGCACGAAGACACAGTCGCTGGCACCCTAGAAGACCAGGGCTATCCAGATCACAGCCGGATGCCACACCGGTCAGCAGGGGAGTAAGACATAGTCACGTGCTAGTTGGGCCTCCCACATGTAACTACTATGTATAAGACCTTATGCTATGTTCTGTGGGAGGCACAATTAAGTCCTTTGAGGAGTTTAGTACTAGGGAATATAACGCATGTACCCAAAAATACTAACAATAAGGTAAATATAAAATGGAGTATGAATATTACAAAACATTTGAATTGGACTAAAAACATTTTTTTTTCAAATTGGTTTAAATGTTTAAAATTCTTTGTACAAAGTGTCACAAATCAACATGGCTTTTAAGCTGGGTAATAAAAAACAGAATATGACTATCATCCAGCAAGGGGGAAAAAAAAAGAGCCTAAGTTTGAAGAATAGGATTAGGAAAGCAGAGGGTTTATGCTGAATGGTCAAGATATTCTAATACTGCCATATCTTTTTCAAATCACAAATCACAAATGCAAATGGCCCAGTATCTGAAGAAAAGGCAGAAGTGAGCATTAGACAGAAAAAGGTTGGAAGGAAGAAGTTCTAGGGGGAGAGAATAATATATGTAAGGGTCCTAAGGCAAGATATAGTTTGGCTCCTTTGAAAGTATGAAGAAAAGGGGATTCAAGACCAATCCTTTATGTACTTTATGTACTACACAACCGAGAGGTTGGAGAGAGGAATGGGAGCTGAAAGAGGAACTGTCAGCAACACAGAAAACCAGAACATTTTATCAGCTCCTAAAAGAAAAGAGTTACCAGGTGTGTCCAAATTTTTACAAAAAGACTATGAGAAAAGAAATGAAAAGAGCACAAGAGATTAAGGGAAGGAAAATAGGGAATCCTTTGGCCCAGGAGTCCATGAAGCAACTAGAGAAGTACTCAAATGCTTTGCAAAAAGTTACAGCTTCCTGATCCATTTCATCCTAAAATATGACAGAATACACACAAATACCAACTTACAAAAAAAAAATATTCAAAAGAGACTAAAATAAGCAAAGCCAAAAATCCATTTGCAAAAATATGATAAAGGAGGCATATAAAGAAAAATAAGTGGACATCTCAATGCCCAGGTTCTACTTAAGAACCAAAGTCCTCATGTATCTATGGGCCTGTTTGGATTTAGGTTTTCTTATTTACATGTCAGACGGTTCTGTTTTTTCCTCAGCAGGTCTGAAACATAGGCAGATAAATACATTCAAACTTACAATAAATCCAGTGAATACAAAGACCAGATATTGCCCTTATAGGCAAGTTAGATGGCCAGTGTATCTGGCTCATGATTCTAAATTCTGTCCCTCCACCTGAATTATTCTCTGGTTCACTGACTATAACGAATCATATAACACCAGGGAAAACCTGTGATAAATGATGCTTTATATACTGAATATTAGAATGATATGTGGACAAGAGACTTCCCTCCAAAGTTTGGAAGCACTTCCCATTTTCTTGTCATTTTTAATAAAAATAAAATGTAGACATGGCTGACAAAAATAATATTTTACTTTGGCTGGATTACGTTTTAACTCCTCTGTCATCCCCTGCCCCCCATAAAGGAATTGCTGATCACCAGGGTACATTTCTCTGCTTTGACTGCAATTGTAGGCTAAAGAATGGCCTGTCAGTCTTCATAGTCCCAATTATAATCATAAATCATAGCCCCAATTACAATTCACCAAAATGTTCTTCAGAATTAGTCAGTGATTCAATAATACTCATTAGTAGCTAATATAAAAAATGGCCACTGGAAGAACCATTCATCTTTGCATACTAAGTCAGGCAAAGGGCTGTCATTTATTTCAAAGAATACTTCACAAATGTCTGTTCCAGATTTTGAGGTTTTAGATATGAGCATTATATATTAACTCAGCATATAACGAGTACAGATGTTGATACTCAAAATTATTCTCAATACACTAATACTTTAGGATCATATTCCAGAGGTTATCTAGATTCAAAAGTATCATATAACAGAAAAATGGCAGAATTTTCTTGTTTAACTGAAATAACTGTTCTCTCTCTCTACAGAAAACATTCACTACCATTTCAAAGTCCTACATAATGGACCACCTTCCTTCTTAGTGCATGGTTAAGAGGGCCAAAACACTCAGGGCTATGGGCTTGTCTGTCTCTGATTTATATCTACTCAATATCTCTGTTCTCTACAAAGATGTTTCCAATAAAAGTCAAAGGAAGTCATTTATTGTAGGATTTTTCATTTATGTGATAAGAGACAAAAAAGTAATAGGTTTACTCATCTGCCACACATTATATGTAAAGGATGGTTAAAGGAATCTCAACTGATTTGACGAACCCATCATTCAGGATGTTACCTCAATTTAATTCTTCTCACTATCTCAATGCCTCATATGAATTTTGCTTATTGAAAAGATGTACATTTTGCAGCTGTCAGCAATGAAATCATTTTTGAACGTTAAGAACAGATTTATATACTCAATGACAATGGTATCTTTACAAAACAAAATTAAAAGACAACAATAAAAATCAAGCATTTAAATCAAATAAGTATTAGGTCAGGCCACTCATTATTATTAAG